GAGGGTGGGTTGTGGGTGCATGGTGCAGGCACGGGTGGGTGCACAGGGTGGGGAGTAGGGGATAGGGACCGGATGGCCAGCACGGGATGGCAGCTGAGAGGCCGAGACTGGAGCCTCGGGCTTCCTCCCATGCTCCCCATGGCCCCTCCTCCATTCCACAGCCACCTGCTGCCTCGTCGGCCTTATTATGATGCCCGTTTCACGGAGAAGACACAGAGGGTGGGGGACAGTAAGGGACTCAAAGAAAGCAGCCGAGGCGGGACTCAAGCTCTAACTTTTGGACTCTGGCCTGAGATCCTTCTGTGTCCTGTCTTTCCCAAACCCGGGCCCTACCTGGGGCAGGGATATTGCTCCCCTACTTACCAGGAGTCTGAACAAGCTCAGGGATTGGGCTGGGCCAGAGAAGCCAGTTCCAAGAAGGCTGGACAAACGGTGACCCCAGCAGTGATCCTGAGGGACAAGGAGTACACTGACCCTCTCGGGGTCACAGCCACCTCACCAGAAACGGGCACAAGAAATAACCCCGAAGATGTCAGTGTGTCTAGATTCAGGGATGTCCACCCCTCAAACTGGCCCCAGGAAGGGAGGGGAGTGGGGATGGCCAGGGAGAGGGGCCACCCAGGGGTTGCAAGAGGGGGGAGCAGAGGAATGGAAAGAGCCCTGCAGACACCCCACCTTGCCCTGGCTCTCCTTCCACACCCCACCCAATTCTAGGTGGTCTACCAGCCATCTCCCCGGCACCTGGTCCCTTGGCCACCCACCCCCAGCTCCGGAGATCACTCTGTTTCTTCCCCCCGTAGCTCATCGCCATCCCCCTCCCCCCATCTTCCTTCCTGGACTTGGAGACCCAGCTCCCTCACCCCCTCCTCCGAGAAGGCCTCGGGGATCCTCCAGGAACCTCAAAGCACCAGAGCAGCGTCTCCTGCGGGCAGCACCCCACCCAGACCATTGCCTAGCTCCCACCCAAGGGCATCCTGAAGCAGCACATCTGTTCTCTGGCCTCCTGGCACAGAGCCAGCGCAAGTGGATGTTAATGGATGAAAATCGAAAATCACGTCCAAGGAGCAGCCAGCCTCACAGCCTGGAGTGGGGGGACCCGCTGCTTGTTAGCTGAGTGCTCACGCTGGGTCAGACACGGGCGGTCACTTTACATTGCCAGATGACGTCATACGTACACCATCCCCAAGGATAGACCTAAAAATTCCCATTTTATAGGTCAGAAGGCTGAGGCTCTCCCTATCCCCGCCCCCTTCACCATCACCATCCACATTTGTCCTGGAGACACTTCCTCACCACTCACCAAATGCTTTCAAGCAGAGCCTCCCCCTGTCCCAATGGCAGGCTGCTGGGGCTCCTGACTCTCTGTTTCTTTTTGCGGAGGACACGCTTCCCCGGGGGCTCCCCCCTCTGCCCTCTTCCCTGGCGTCCTTGTCCTACCTCTGGCTCTCACGCCTTATTTCTAGACTTCACTCAACACTAGACTTTGCGGCTTCCCTCCAGAAGGTGGTGTTGCCGACAGAACCCTCTCCTCTCAGACCCTCACACCCCTCTCTTGTTCACCATGACTTCCCCTGCCCTGTGCGGGGAGCTTGTCCTGTGCCCCTGGCCCGCGCTCACACCCTAGGAGGGCGGCCTGTTGCCATCGTGGCCACGGTGGCGGCGAGGCTTACAGAGTGAACCTTCCCCGAGAAGGGGGAGCCCGCGCGGCCAGCGTGGCGCCTGGATCCCTGCCTCCGAGCCCCCCTCTTCCCTGTTCCCAGCAAGCTTTGAGCGCGCATTCCGCTTGTGACGCCACAGCAAGGTGAGCGGGAATGTGGCCGCCTCTGTGGTCCCTTCACGCAAACCTCCCTGTCCCCTTACAGAGGCTTCAGCGCCTCCCCTCCTGGCCCTGCAGGGGTCTCCCCTCGTGTTCCCTGTCCTTTACCGGCTCCAAGGACAACACCTCCCGGGTTTGGGTTTGGGTCGTGATGCTCCCAGCGAGAACAAACAGCCAGCCCGGCCGGGCCCTGCTCTGTGTCTAACTTGTACCCTCAGGATGGGGACAGACAGTGCGTTTGTAGGACTCTCCAGGGTGGGGCTTGGGGGGGACATTGCAAAAGCCCCGACCCTGCCGTCTGCATCCCCTGGCTGTGACCTGTGTGCACACGGGGCCAGTGTTTCCGGAAGTAGCCGGGAGTGCTGGCCACCCACCCTGCACGGCTCCTGGTCCTCAACTTCCCCCACCCATTGCAGGTCCCCAGCTTCGAGTCAGGCCCTGACCAGAGGGAAGAAGCCAGGAGGCCAGGCGGGCCCAGATGAGTCCCGGGGAGGGGGGGACTCAGGACGGACGGAATCTTAGGGGCTGGGGCCTCTGGCCGCTGACCTCCACCCTGCTCTCTGACCTTCTCCTGGGCGTAGCTGCGTTCTGAGCCATTTCTTCTGCAGGACAGACAGGGTTCCTCTGGCGGCAGGGGGATCCTGGGGGCGCCCAACCCACCAGTGAGCAACCTGTGTTCACCCCTCTCTCCCTCCCTCCTGCTCTGACCGCCGCCCACACTCACCTTACTCTGGGACTGGACATTTCTCTGCGGGGAGAGGCATCTGTCCTCAGCACCTCGGTGACCAGGAAAAGCTGAGTGTGGCCAGATGGCAGCCCTCCTCCCCTTCGCTGAGGGGCCAGCACCACAGCCGGGACCCTCAGCGGAGGCCCAAGGAGAGGCAGGTGCCAGAGGGACAGCTCCGCCCCCACCGGGTCCCCAGTGGGAAAGAGCCCGGCTCCCGCCTCGGGCACTGGGGCACCACCGCCCGCCGTGGAGGGCAGCGGAAGGTCCGGTCCCGAACGAAGGACACACTGGGACTGTCAGGGGGGCACTCCTGTCCCGGGATAGTCCAGCCCCGGCTCTCGGCCCCTTCCCGCAGCCCCCTGCACCCTGGGGGTCTGTCAGCTGCATGCAGGGGACGCTGGGGGTTGGAGTCCACAATTCCTGCTCGTGTCTCATTGGGCAGGACGGTGTCATGTGACTTGAGAGAGCCTCAAGGGATGCTGGGAATTCAGTCCATTATTTAGCTCACAGCCCATTGGTCAGGCTGGAGGCACCTGCTGTGGGAGGCAGGATCTAGCCAGGAGTCCCTGCAACTCGCTGAGGCTAAGAGGGGGGTGTGCTCGTCTCACTAGAAGAACGAAGGGGACACTGTTCCTTGGGGGCAATTAGCAGTTCCGTTCACTAATCACCTCTTCACTTGGGGCTCAGGGATGATTTGTGTAGGAGGCTCAGAGAACCTGAGCAGGAGTGACTTGAGTCTTGAGGACATTTCTGTTCACTGCCCAAGCTGGGGTTGGTCTGGGGTCCGCTTGGGCAGCTCTTTGATGTTTCCTCGACTTCTGTGCACCTCCCCTCCAGGTCCCAAGTGGCTGCCACAGCTCTAGGCATCATGTTGCCATACATCCCCACTCAAGGCAAGAAAAGGGACAAAGGGGCACTCGTCCTGACTCTTTTTAGTGAAGGGGGGGAATCTTTCCCAGAGAGCCAAGCCGACTTAACCCACATGACTTGTTGGCTCCAACCATGGTCCAGGCCTAACTCTACCTTCCACACAAGTCTTCCAGCCCCTCTGTGGCTCCGTCCTGGTCTCCTCTGCTGCCCCCACACCCTCTGCCTCTTCCCCCACCATCCCTGAGGGCGAGGACCCCACACCACATCCATCCCCCTTGGCTGGTCCTTATCCCCTCCTGCGTGCAGCAGACCCCGACTTCCTCAGCCACCCACGCCTGCCAGCAGTCACCTCTCCTGGCCTGATCCAGCCTTGGGTCTGCTCATGGCTCTGTCCCAGAACCCCAGGGTCATGTGGGCCGCAGGCAGCGTCCCCAAGTCACGGGGGTGGGTAGTTGCAGGCAGTGTGATCGAAGGCCATGGTCTCAGCTCTGGGACGGTTCCAAGACAACACTGGGGGTGAGGCCTGGCAATCAGGAATCAATGGCTGACGTGAGTCTGGGGCTGTCCTTCCCCTGCAGCACTCAACCTGTCATCGGGCTCATGCGGTGGCTCTCAAGTTATGAATGAATAGATGAAGTGTCGGGGGATCCTGGCGTGGCGCCCTCTGTGTTCGGATCTATTGCAGCCAATGCCCGGATGGCACTCCGGCACCCTGGAAGGGCGGGGGGCCCTGGGCAAGCGGACGTCACCAGCAAGGCCGTGCTCTCTTTGCAGAAGGACACGGGTTCCTGTATGAAACCTCCGGGGTCCGGCCGCAGTTCTCCCGTCA